TGCCTTGGGTCTTCGTTGCTGCGCGTGGGCTTTTCTCTCTAGTTGTGGCGAGCGGGGGCTACTCTTCGTTGCGGTGCACGGGCTTCTCGTTGCAGTGGCTTCTCTTGTTGTGGAGCACGGGCTCTAGGCGTGCGGGCTCAGTAGTTGTGGCTCTCGGGCTCTAGAGCACAGGCTCAGTAGTTGTGGTGCTCGGGCTTAGTTGCTGCATGGCATGTGGGATCTTCCCAGGCCAGGGCTCGAACCCGTGTCCCCTGCATTGGCGGGCAGATTCTTAACCACTTCGCCACCAGGGAAGCCCCGGCAGTGTAGGTTCTTGATCTCAGCAAGAAAATTGCTCTAGTGTCACAATGCAATATAGAATGCAGAAGGGGAAGATAGGTTAAGGATAAGAATATAGGGAGAAATGATTGCTCCAGGATTGTAGCATTAGGATTGGTAATTTCAAGAGACCTACGAAAACTTTCAAACACAAGAAAAATTAAAGAATGCCAAAAACTTCCATATGTGCCCATCACCTAGATTCAGCAGTTGTTAGTATTTTGCCATATTTTCTTTATTTGTTTATGTATATATGTAGAAATTATTCTTTTGACTTTTTATTTTGATATAATTTCACAGTTACAGAAAAGTTACAAGAATAGAACAAAGAACCTCATATACTCTTCATCCAGATTTTCCAGCTGTTAACATTTCACCCTATTTGCTGTTAACATTTTACCAAATTTGATTTATCCATCTCCCTTTCCCTCTTCCTTCCTCCTCCCTCTCTCTCCCTGAACCATTGAGAGTAAATTGCAGGCGTGATAACCTTGCTCCTAAATATTTTCATGTGTGTTTTCTGTTTCTCTTCCATAACTACCGTATAATTCTCAAAATCAGGAAATTAACTACAAGCTGATATATTACTATTATCAAATACACAGACCTTATTCACGTGTTGTCAGTTGTCTCAATAATGTCCTTAGAAAATCCTGAGTCATGCGTTGCATTCATCTGTCATGTCTCTTTAGTCTCCTTTAATCTGGAAGAGCTCCTCAGTTTTTCTTTGTGTTCCATGACATTGACATTTTTGAAGAACCATGGTCATTTTCTAAAATGTCCCTCAGTTTGGTTGTATCTAATGTTTCCTCATGATTAGATTAAAGTTGTGCATCTTTGGCAGTAATATAACAGAAATAATTTTGGGCATCATATCAGGAGGCACCTGATGTTGAATTGTTCTATCGCTGATGATGTTAACTTTAAATATCCTGTTACTCCTCAAACATTTATCTTCTTAGCTTTAATGTCTCCTTATGATGATTGCCTGAATCATTTATTGTAATCATAGTTGCCAAGTAGTGATTTCATAATTCTGTCATCCTTCTACATTTATTAGCAAGCTTTCTACAACATGGAAGAGTTTTCTCTTCCCTTCCCTTTCTTCTTTCCTTCCTTCCTTTCTTTTTCTATATCAGTGTGAATTTATGGATTCATGTTTTATTCAGTGGATTATCATCTGTCACTGTCATTATTTATTTTGATACTCAAATTGTCTTATGTTTGGCCAGTGGGAGCCCCTTATGTCTTTTTGGACCCAATCATTCTTTGAGTCCTTTCTTACTTTCTGACACAAAAAAGATGTTCTACATTCATCTTGCACTTAGATTTAGTTCTGAAATGCCATTTCTCCACAGAGCCCTAGTTTTTTAAACTAGAGAATGGTATTTACAAACCAAGATCTGAGTATATGGTGTGTTCATTACTTCTAGGCCCACTTGAGTGGACAGAATTAAGAAATAGATGTATGTATATTCATATCCATACATACATGTATGGCTATCTTTACTGCTTCACATGTCTATATTTATTTCTATATCTATTTATTTTTATGCATTCAAATCTATTAGAGTCTATTTTATACATTCAGATCTTCTAATTCATACCTTACACCACAGAATTAATTGTCTTTCGTATTTCCATATCTGTCATTGTCTTTCCCAATAGTGAGAAACCTGGATGCCATTATCTACAATTTATGAATTTTTTAAAACATTTTTAGAATATACAGAAAATAGTTTCAGAATTACTAACCAGTGCTTCTGTGGGAAAGAAGCCTATGTGTAGATTTGTCTTCTCTTGGTTATAAAGTTATTAACATGGAACAGTAGTTCTCAAGGTTGGGCAATTTTATACCCCCAGGGACATTGGGCAATATATGGAAACATTTTTGGTTGTTACAACTGAGAGGCAGTGCTATTAGCATCTAGTGGGTTGAAACCAATGAACCTACTAAACACCCCGCGATCCACAGGTCAGCCCCAAAACAAAGAATTATGTAGCCCAAATTGTCAAAAGTGCTTAGAAAAAAACCCTAACATACAAGTAGGAAAATATCTACTGAAGGATATTATGTAGATATTTTTTGCCGAACCACTTGAAAGTAAGATAAAGGCATCATGATACTTGCAAATGATATTTACATATACTTTGCAAATGATGCAGCCAACAAGGGCTTAATTTCCAAAATATACAAATAGCTCATACAATTCAATAACAGAAAAACAAACAACCCAATCAAAAAATGGGCAGAAGACTTAAATAGACATTTCTCCAAAGAAGACATACACATGAAAAGATGCTCATCATCACTAATTATTAGAGAAATACAAATCAAAACTATACCTCACACCCATCAGAATGGCCATCATTAAAAAGTCTACAAATAATAAATACTGGAGAGGGTGTGGAGAAAAGAGAACCCTCTTACACTGTTGGTGGGAATGTAAATCAGTGCAGCCACAGTGAAAAACAGTATGGAGGTTCCTCAAAAAACTAAAAATAGATTTGCCATGTGATCCAGCCGTCCCACTCCTGGGCATATACCCAGTTCGAAAAGAGACATGCACCCCAATGTTCATAGCAGCACTGTTTACAATAGCCAAGACATGGAAGCAACCTAATTGTCCATCAACAAATGAATGGATAAAGAAGATGTGGTATATATATATACAATGAAATATTACTCAGCCATAAAAAAAGAATGAAATAATGCCATTTGCAACAATATAGATGGAACTAGAGATTATCATACTAAGCAAAGTAAGAAAGAGAAAGACAAATACCATATGATATCACTTGTATGTGGGAATCTAAAATACGACATAAATGAACATATCTACGAAACAGAAACAGACTTACAGACATGGAGAACAGACTTGTGGTTGCCATGGACGAGGTGGGGTTGAGGAGGGAAGGACTGGGAGTTTGGGATTAGCAGATGCAAGCTATTCTATATAGGATGGATAAACAACAAGGTCCTGCCGTATAGCACATGGAACTATAATCAATATCCTGTGATAAACCATAATGGAAAAGAATAAGAAAAAGAATAAATGTATGTATAACTGAGTCACTTTGCTGTACAGCAGAAATTAACACAACATTGTAAATCAACTTTTTTCAAAAAAAAAAGATACATCATGATACTTCATGATACTTCCTGCTTTAATACTCCTAAGAATAAGGACGTTGTCCTACATAATGACAATTCCAGAGATGGGCAGCTAGAACCTTTGCAGCCCCCAATGTGTGATATTGAAAGAGAAGTTTTGTAGTTGCTGTGACAATGCACCTGCCACCGGAAAATCTCTCTCAATCTCTCTCTTTGCCCCCACCCTTACCATGACTGTTTGAAGGAAGAGTTGATAGAATGGCTAAAATAGATGAACCTAGAGTCAGATTTTTGACAGGGAGAAGTAAGATATGAGGATGAAAACATGTGTTTGTAATATCTAAGACCTGCAGTGATTACACTGTGAAATTTTATTCTTAATTCTTTTTTGATAGATTGAAGTTGTTATGCCTGAGTTGTTTGTAAACCAAAGTAGTAGTCAAATAGAATGTACTAGAAGAATATGGCCTACCTGATGATACATTTATTTCAGGCAGTGTTCAGTAGTAGAAAGTTCTAATACAATGAAAGATGATGAGCGGAGTGACTAGAGAGAAAAGAATTAGGGGAGGGAGCTTATTTGAGGTGTAATGGTGGCTCTAATTTATTTTGATAAAATCACTTAGGTTACATCATTTACTAATTAAGCAGGGCTTGGCTTCCCTGATGGCGCAGAGGTTAAGAATCCGCCTGCCAATGCAGGGGACACGGGTCCGAGCCCTGGTCCGGGAAGATCCCACATGCCACGGAGCAGCTAAGCCCGTGCACCACAACTACTGAGCCTACACTCTAGAGCCCGTGAGCCACAACTACTGAGCCTGTACTCTAGAGCCTGCGCGCCTAGAGCCCATGCTTCACAAGAGAAGCCACCGCAACGAGAAGCCCGTGCCCCGCAACGAAGAGTAGCCCCCGCTCGCCACAACTAGAGAAAAGCCCATGCGCAGCAACAAAGACCCAACACAGCCAAAAATAAATTAATTAATTAATTGTAAATAATAATGATAATTAAGCAAATATTTACTTGTTATGTATGTAGTGTTGAGGAAACAGTGATGATGAAGGGAGCACAGTGGAGCTTTCAGCTTAGTTTTTATTTTGTATTCCACAGCTGGGGAAATCATACTAAAATATTTTTTCTTGAAGAAAAGTTTCTTTCTATTTTTGCATTTCCAGTTAAGTTCCAAGTGAAAATTTTCTGACTTGTTATGAAGAAATTTCAAAATTAATAAAGAAGAATAGCATTATGATCATACTACTAAATTTCAAACCTTGCATAAGCTCTACATAAGCCTTATATAAGTGAAATATATAATTTAGTATATATTAGTATGTATGTTACAGTACCATTGCCATGAATTACTAAAATAATTTAATCATATTTGTGTTCTTTCTCCAAGGTAAAATGACTAAAATGCTTAATACAATTTGCTTCTAAATTTTATTAGACTTAGTTGTGCTTTGTTGTTAACTATGCATGTTCAAACATGAGAAAGATTGCTAATCTTTGGTTATAGAGATTATGGTATGATACTAACTCTTGCTTTTAAAATAAACATATTTTTGTCAGATGACTTGCAGGGTGCACAGTCAGAAATTGAGGCAAAACAAGAAATTCAGCATCTTCGGAAGGAATTGATTGAAGCCCAGGAACTAGCTAGAGCAAGTAAACAAAAATGCTTTGAACTTCAAGGTGAGATCAAGATTACTTTGATTCTTTAGGGGATGTGAAAGCAACAAGATATAACTGAATGGCCCCAAACTTCCAAGTCCAGAGGCATGGTTACCTTCTTCCAAATCTACAACTTTATTAGATATGTGATCTTGGGACATCACTTATGCTCTCTGAGCTTATGTTTCAGATCAGTAAAGTGAGGAGAATTACAGTTGTACTAATAATACAGTACAGGCCTTAATAAAGGCCTGAGGCTTCCCTGGTGGCTCAGTGGTTGAGAGTCCGCCTGCCGATGCAGGGGACACGGGTTCGTGCCCCGGTCTGGGAAGATCCCACATGCCGCGGAGCGGCTGGGCCCGTGAGCCATGGCCACTGAGCCTGCACGTCCGGAGCCTGTGCTCCACAACGGGAGAGGCCACAACAGTGAGAGGCCCACGTACCGCAAAAAAAAAAAAAAAGAAAGAAAGGCCTGTACCAATGAAATATCTTAAAAGTTAATTACACATTAAGTACAGCAAAAGGAAAAAACTTAGAAATATAAATTTCTACGTTTTAGTTATACCTAATATTAGCTACTCAGTATAAGATAAGGGAAATTTATATTCCCTGCAGTTTTACAGTGGATTCTTCAGTAAGTGAGAGGAACCAGGCAAGGTTAAGGTATAGAATTTTCTAATGTCCCAACCGATAAGAGTCATAGGCCAGTTGGAGTCTGTGCTATTCCCTAGAGCTTACATTTCTATAGCGTTCACAGCAGTTACCTAGTTGCAGTCAATTAGTACCTTACAAAGTCTTAGAATCCTCATATTCTCTAAAATGGCCTTCCTGACCAGGACGAAGATTTGCATCCCACGGGGAACTATGAACTTCCTGTCAGTAAGTACTTACTATGTACTTGGCAGTGAACATGAGGATTTTAAGTCTGTTTTTCACATTTAAGCTCAAAATCCTGATTAACAACTATTAAGAATGCTTCTCGGGGCTTCCCTGGTGGCGCAGTGGTTGAGAGTCCGCCTGCCGATGCAGGGGACATGGGTTCGTGCCCCGGTCTGGGAAGATCCCACATGCCGCGGAGCGGCTGGGCCCATGAGCCATAGCCACTGAGCCTGCGCGTCCAGAGCCTGTGCTCCTCAACAGGAGAGGCCACAACAGTGAGAGGCCCGCGTACTGCAAAAAAAAGAGAAAAAAAAAGAATGCTTCTCAAGTAAAGAACAGCACATGTTATCTTGGCAATACGAGGTATAGACAACTACTACTCGGTTGAATACATTTATTACTTACTACTGTTTTGTGCTCCTTAAAAAATCTTTAAACTACCTAACTGCTAACACTGATAACACTGCCTAACTTTTGTTTCTTTCAGTGAGGTTTAGGAGAGAATTTCTTAGAACTTTCCAGCTGCTCGATTCTGAATATTTTCATTAAATTAGAAATACTGTGCTTTACTTTCAGCTCTTTTGGAAGAAGAAAGAAAAGCCTATCGAAATCAAGTTGAGGAATCCAGTAAACAAATACAGGTTCTTCAAGGTATGGAACACCGGAGGCTATTTGGGATTGTTACTGTTTGTTTGTTTGTAGCAATTCAAAAGAAATGGAAAGTAAGAATGCAAAGGGTTCCCATTTTTCAAGGCTTTGGTTCTTCCCTAGAATCTGAGACTGTAACTGGGCTCTTTGTGGCCCCTTTTTTTTTTTAAGGGAAGATTCCCTAGTACTCCAGTAGTACCTCCCACTTGGAGTGGGAAGAGGAAGATTGAAGATATGGATTTGGTAAGACTGTCATTTTCTGGGTTATGTAGTGACTTACTACAAAGGAGACCTTCAGACAGGAAATCAGTTTGAGTAGTTCTGTGCATCAGCACTTTTAGCTTGTTGGTGATATTATTTCTAATGCTCATAGCACACTTGCACTGCAACAAAAATTATTTACCAAATGGAATAGAACAGTGGTCCCTGCACTCCCTTCATTGGTAAAGGCTGCTCTTCGTATCCACCATTTTGCTATCTCTTTGTATGGGCTATCACAGGGTCATTACAGAAATGACCCGAAAGACCCCTGCCTGTCAAGGGTTTTCTTCGACCCAGAGCTCCTGGTACTTTGAGGTTATAATTGTGAGATACTCCAGGAGATGTCTTTCCTGTGCCACAGTAAAATTCCTAAAGTAAAATTAATTTGCCTTCATTGTCAAAGAAGGAACCAATGTTATTTTAAAATTTTAGTTTGAGAGGTACAGTAAGAAGAAGTTAAATAGAGAAGTAATCTCTGTTGACACGAAATGGGGAGTCATTGTATAAGGCCTATGATATTTGCCCTAAAATATCCCAAAGAAAAACCAGTCTTTTGGGTTTTCTTATTTTTGAGTGGGACATGTGAGTTATTTTAAAAAATTGTATTATGGTCAAACAAGAATTTCTAGGGTAGATTGTATATCTTTTTAAATTGAAAGCTCTTTACACTCTTATAGTTTAATGCCATTATCCATTAGTTTATATAAATCTGATTTGAATCTATACTTCCATCCTGTATTGTGTATGGGCAATTATCCCTGAAGGTTCTATGATGTAGTGCTTCCTTTTGTCTTAAAGCTGTCTTACGTGGGCATCATTGAGTGCTCTCTAGTGCCAACATGTATATTTCAGGATTTTATCCACAAGTCCATGGTCATGTTATCCATGGCCATTGTGTCTTTTCAGATTTTTGAACCTGTTACCTCTTAACATTTCCCACAGACTTAAAAGGTCTAATATTTTCTTTAATGTTTATTTATTAGGCAACTTCTTCCTACACAAGGCTTAAATCCTCTTAATTATTTTAATTATTCTTCTTTTCTACCTACGGAACTTTTTATACCTATAATTTTCTTGTGTTATTATAATCAAGACCAGTATTCTAGTTCTGAACCAAGTATGATTTTATACAAATTGTTTCCAGTTCAAGTTATTGAGGACAAGACCAGATCCTTAAAATATATACCTCTTTCATTAGGCAATATTCATTAACTTTATTAATTCATTAATTCAACCAATAATTCTTGATTGTTTACTCTTCTAGTATTGGGGATAGCACACATGAGATGTACAGTCTAGTGGAAAAGATGAATAAGCAAATAAGTATATAGTGTGATGTCCAATAAGGGCAGAGTAAAGGGCTAGAGAATGACAGAGGGCTATTTTTAGATAAGCCATCAGAAAAAGCTTCTTTAAGGAATTGACATTTGAACAGAAAATTGAGTCAAGAGCATCAAAGGTTTTACTAATGCTTACCCTTTGACCAAGCAATTCTATGTCTACAAATTCACCCTAAGGAAAAAAAAATCAAGATTGCTTTGTAAGGTGTATTGTCTATAGTAATTAAAATCTGAACAGCCTCAAGTGTCTAAAATAAAGGATTAGTCAAAAAAGTTAGTATAGGGCTTCCCTGGTGGCGCAGTGGTTGAGAGTCCGCCTGCCAATGCAGGGGATGCGGGTTCGTGCCCCAGTTTGGGAAGATCCCACATGCCGCGGAGCGGCTGGGCCCGTGAGCCATGGCCGCTGAGCCTGCGCGTCCGGAGCCTGTGCTCCGCGGCGGGAGAGGCCACAACAGTGAGAGGCCCGCATACTGCAAAAAAAAAAAAAAAAAAAAAAAAAAAAAGTTAGTATAGCTGGTTTTTGTTATTGAAAAATATTCATCAGCAGCCGCATAGAGAACATTGTATTTATTATGATCCCTCCCTATTTTTGTTTTTATATGTGTATAAATGCATAGAAAAAATCTAGGAGAGGAAGTACCAAATGTTAGAAACAGTTTTCTCTGTGTGGGAGAAATAAAGGTCGCTTTGGGGGTTTTTTCTCTTTGTATTTCTGTATTTTGACATTTTCTGCATTAAACATGGATTGCTTGTACAGTTTAATCAAAAGCAACAAACAGCTCTGACAGCCTGGGCCATGTAGTAACTACAGTCCCATATGGGCTGTTCTTTTATTCCTGATTACTATGGACTAAGAAAATGATGAGTAAATATACTTTTGTAGCCCAACTGCAGAGGTTACACATCAATATTGAGAATCTCCGGGAGGAGAAGGATAGTGAAATCACCGGCACTCGAGATGAATTGCTTAGTGCCCGAGATGAAATTTTACTCCTTCATCAAGCAGCAGAAAAGGCTGCCTCTGAGCGGGACACTGACATTGCTTCTCTACAAGAAGAGCTTAAGAAAGTGCGAGCCGAGCTTGAGCGGTGGCGGAAAGCAGCATCTGAATATGAGAAAGAAATCATGAGTTTGCAAAATACTTTTCAGCTTCGATGTCAGCAATGTGAGGACCAGCAGAGAGAAGAAGCAACGAGGCTACAAGGTAAGAAATGTATTTTACATAAAGCTCTTAACTCTTGATAATGATAACTTTATAACTTGTGGAAAATAACCATTCAGGCTAGTTTTGTCTTTGACAACGATTGGTTGTATAAAGCAGTGTTTTTATATTGGGGCTATAAGCATTCTTCAGGTCTGTAAGCTCTACAATAAATTGAAAATCTTTTCAATTTTACATTTTATTTAAATACTGTTAAAAATTATTTGTCTTATAAAAGTGAAGTGAGAAAAAAATATTACTGAAGTTCAGGGTGATGGGAACTTCCCTGAGGCGCCACTGTGAAGTAACAGGAATCAAAGAATAGCCATGTAAAATGTAAGTGTTTAAGGGGAAAAATAGTTATGTTCCTATATTAACAAATGTGTTTTGGGACTATTTTAGGTGAACTAGAGAAGTTGAGAAAGGAATGGAATGTATTGGAAGCCGAATGCCGTTCTCTAAAAAAGGAAAACGTTTTGCTATCATCAGAACTGCAGCGGCAAGAAAAAGAATTGCACAAGTATGCAAGAACTCTTTTTTAGGTTCAAAATGTTTCTTTATCTTTAGATTTTCATCTAAATTTTAAGTTTAATTTTGATACTTAAATACCTTTTTGGAGCAAAATATTCATCCAGACTCTTTTTGGCTATCTGGCAGGTTAACCACGCTAAATGAGTACTTCAGCACTTTTTTTCCTGCCATCACTTGCATGTCCTTTCCTTTTGGTGTACTCATGGAATATAGATTCACTAAATGCCCCTTCTCCGCACCAAAAGATAGACAAAAGATCTAAACAAACGGATCTAAACAAACAGACAGCAAAAGATCTATGATTGAACTTGCCCTTTAAACTAAATCGTAATAAATTTCAAATACAAGTTTGTTTTTCTTTCTTGCCAATGATCCCTTCTGTTTATAAGGGTGATCAGGAGATGGCTATGATAAAGAATTGATACTGTTGAAAGATACAAATCCAGCTTTTGAATTTCAAACAGGGTTATATAAAAAGTAACAATGTGTGAGATCAAAAATTTGCTAAAAGCAATTAAATCTTTCTAACATCCATTACCTTACAGGCAAACCAATGAATGTAATAGATTTATTCCAGCAAATTTAGTGGAGTCCTATTTTCTCATCAACACTTGTTGCATAGTTTAAAATTTATTGCTTCCTTAAAAATTTGATCCATTCCATGTTTTTTATTTATACAATGTTTACATTCTAATTCAGATATGAAAGTAGTACGTGTTTATTATTGAAGCCATTCTTTAATCCCTCTCCCTCCCCAGAGTACACCAAAAATGGGAGTCATTACTCTCTTGTTAGCCTTGTATTTATACTCCTGAAAAGCATTAAGATTAACAAAAACTCAGTGACCAAGGTCAGTTCCCATAGAAAACAAGCTTTAGGGAAAAATGATAACGAAAGGACTAGATATATCAGAAAATAGTATTCCTTGTTATCTCTTATTTAAAAAAGGCGGGACTTCCCTGGTGGTCCAGTGGTTAAGACTTCACCTTCCAATGCAGGGGGTGCGAGTTTGATCCCTGATCAGGGATCCCACATGCTTCTCGGCCAGAAAACCAAAACATAACACAGAATCAATATTGTAACAAATTCAATAAAGACTTTAAAAAATGGTCCACATCAAAAAAAAAAATCTTAAAAAAAATGTTATATAACCTCACAGGACCTCAATTAAAAAAAAAAACAAAGGCAACTTTAATATCGGTTTTACATTTTAAAAATCAAGAACTAGTTGAAGGAGCAAGATGTGCTGACTTATTCTCTAAAACGCCTTACAACATCATATGGTCAATATCAGTATCTTTAAAGCATTTTTTTCTCTTCCAGTGTCATATCTTTCCATAGTCTTTTCTATGTGTATTACTTTCTGAATGTTTAAAGATAACTAATAATAAAGAACAAAACAAATGCTTGTTTTTTATGTAAAAGTTTGTGAAAACAATTTCAAAATATGAAAAGGACAAAATAAAGGCCCAAAACACAAACAAATAAATAAATGGATGCTGTCACGCAGACACACACGCATACGTTTGTGTATATGTATGTACCAACTGCTCATCTGTGTAACAGAACATGTGGGCAAATTGTTTGGTATAAAGTGTGTGTAAGATGATACCGACACTCAAGTTCTTCATATTTGGAATACATTTGGATCTTGGTGAATCCATTTAGTTTCATATTCTCTCAAGCAAGAAATACTGATATTTGGTTTCCAGTACTGATTATCTTAAATTATTCTTGTTTTGGAATTTTTGATACTTTAAAGATTCAGACTTGATCCCTTATTTTTGAGATATGATTAATTGGAATCTGGCCGATTGTTAAATGTTTTTTTTTTTAATGACTTCAAATTTTGTTTAAATGTTGAAAAGCAATCCTACAAACTCCTCATGAGTTAGAAGCATATGGTTTAATAATATTAGGCCCCAGAAGCGTGGAATATATTCTGGTCAAGTTATCTGTCTAAACTCACAAAAACTATTTAAGACATTAATTCTGTTTTTTAAACTTTTCTGATTTAATAGTTCTCTAAGTTAATTTGTTAAGCCTCCCCAGCATGTAAGTAGTATTTAGAAGCTAGTCTCCCTTTACAGTGTCTTACATGCCATACAGTTCCTAGCTATATTGCCCTGACAACATCACACGTACACCCTACGATCTGCCTAGCATCTAATCAGCATGGGATTTATACTCTATAGTATTTCAGTTACAATATTGAGTCTGAGTCTTACGATCCATCCTGAGAGGATGTCTCGAAAACCTTATCCTCCTTTAGCTATTTCTGTTGCAGATGGGAGCCAAATTCTTTAACACAGCTTCAATATACAGGTCTTTTGTTCTTTGTTGTCCATGGTGTAGAAGGAATTGAACAAAGAATTTCTATTCCTGCTTATCAAGGTGTTTTCCTAGTGTGTAAATGGGACTTTTTTTTTTACATCAGGTTGTAACAGCAATCATAGAATTTAAGCTGGAAAACAGCCTCAGAAATTATTGAGTTCTGTCTTCTTGTTTGACAGTGGAGGGCACTGAGACTCTCCTTGTGTTGTTTGTGTCTGTGCGAATGGTGCCTGGCACAGATCTCAGAGCTCAGGAAATGCTTTACTCAGAGAATGAAATGGCACCAGTTAAGTGACTTGCTCAACATCCCACAACTAAATAGTGGCAGATCTGGGGTCTAGAAGCCAGACTCCTGGTTCTTTGTCTTGTGCTTTCCTCCCCAGTTTGGTGTCTTCTCATTTCAGTAGGTTTATCTTTACTTAAGTTGGAAGTGGCTCCTAAGGTTTAAGTTTCTGTCTGCCATCCTATTTGTCAAGTACTTAAAGAAAATAGTTGGAATATGTGCTTTCTTTTCCTGTAGAAGACCTACACTGAATCTTTTTATGATACAGTTAATATAATGTGATATGACAAAATACACAATTAGTCACCTTCTATTTTTACAATTTCAAACTTTGTGTGTACTTGATTATCTGAAAATAGGACACAGCTTTAAACTTTCACTGTTTTAGTGTTTTAATGCTTTTACTTATTGAAAATATCATTCTTTTTTACACTTTTCTTTCCTCATCTGAAATCCACTCCATCCCTCCTAGTAAAATGTATAAGAAATTGGACTTCCTGCTGTGTGTGATTTCTACATGAATAACTGTCAATATTTATGTTGCAGTTCTCAGAAGCAGAGTTTAGAGCTTACCAGTGATCTCAGCATCCTGCAGATGACTAGGAAAGAGCTTGAGAATCAAGTGGGATCCTTGAAAGAACAGCATCTTCGGGATTCAGCTGATTTAAAAACTCTTCTCAGTAAGGCTGAAAACCAAGCAAAGGATGTACAGAAAGAGGTAAAGCGAAAAGACATTATGAGCCCAATTATGGTTGGACTTAAAGCCAAAAGCAAATCAGATATTCATGCTAGTTAGAACTAAAGGGAAGCATTACCTGTCACAGAGTTGATACTGGGAGCATCTCTGGTGATTTCTAGCTGTGTATCATGATCCATATGTAGAGAATTCATCAGTAAGGTTTGGTCTCAAAAATATAAATATACAAAATTACGTTAAAAGTTTTTCTCTACCAGTTAGTTGATCTATATGAGAAGTCCTTTGTACCAGATTACTTAATTCACTGTTTATCTTTCAAAGACAGTATCATATTTAATTTAGAATACTTTTGGAAAGCTAACTGGGGCCACACCATAATGCTGTCTAAACCCCTCAGATGACACTGGCCTGAAAAGTTGCTGATGAGAAAACTCAGCTCATACCCAGCCAGCCAAACATGTTCTGTGACCGTTTTTTTGGCGGCTTTAAAAAAAAAAACCATGTTTAAAATGGTGAGGGTTGATGTTGGAGCAGAGACCCCACCCAGGCTTTTCCTGAGCAGAGAGAGCCTTGAAGTTGAGAGTGGGGCAATAAGAGCTGCAATCAGTCCTACTGGCCTTATACTATTCCCTGCATTGACTTCTGGCCAGCTTAGGGGATGGAGAAGGCTGATGCATTTTCATCTACCCGGCAGGGCTCACCCCAGTTGTAGACCCTCTTAAATGAAGGATTTGTTTTAAACAGAAGGAAGTTGAAGACAACTCTTTGTCTTAAATAACAAATTTTCCCAAAGTTGTTTTTAGAAGATCTGTTTAATCAATGTAGTTTTCCTTTGCACTTTTCTTTCCCTGTAGTATCCTGAACTTGGAAATGATTGTTGTTCTTCTGTCTTCATGTTTGTTCCTAAAGAAAAAAACTGTAACAGTTTTTATTCACATGTGGCCATATTGATTTTGTAATATGTTCATTTTTTATCTTCTTGCTAAGGATATGTATTTTGGGAGAAATCTCATTTTATTTGGTTGGAACACAAATTTTGTGCCAAAGTAAATATACTAGTATTTAATACTGTAAGCACTTTGTGTCCTTCCAGTCCACATGCCATAATTCTTTCAAAATCTGGGAAGAATGCTGTGGTTGGAAGATAATTCTGTTGTATGTTACTCTGAATGCGTTAGCCATTTTGTTGCATTATTTGTTTGCCTGTTTTTGGTCACTGAGCAATCAGTGCGAAATGCTTTAACTGTTACCACAAATGGCAGTGGCATGTTGTCACAGCATCTAAATTGTTGGTAGCCTTTGGATTGCATTAAATGCAGCACATTTAAAAATATGTCTGATCTTGTCAGTATGTTTCTTTTCTATTTTCTTGTTCAATGTTTTCATTGTGAAATGAAGTGTAGTCACCATACCATGCTCCTTTATGATGTGAAATTGCTTTTCTTTCCGTTTGTCCTGATGTCAACTATTGGATACTAGTCTGTAACTAAAACCTTCTTTAATGAGATTCTTATATCTGTGTAATCCACTGCAAATGAATTACTACCTTTTATTAATGCACATATATTCCCTTTCAACATTTCCCCTTTTTCTCCTTTCTCTCATAGAATCATAATGTGCACAATATAATGATTATGTATCTTCAGCACTGTCACAGGTTAAAATATTACAAACTAAGCAAGCCCAGATATGATTATTTTTGTGAAGAAGAATCAAAGGTGCTGGTAATATTGTGTGGTATTTCCCTCTTAATCAGAACTGAGTGCATTTCTCATCTCTGAGATAGAAAGCAAGATGGAGCAAAATGATATCCAAGGGAGGTGTGACACTAAGGCTACAGAAGGTGACCTTTGTTCTGACAATTAGATTTTATATATGTGGCAGCTTTTGTTTGAACATTTAAAAAAGAAAAAGTACCTGAGAAAAGTAAAATTTAATCCTCAGTGTTAAGAGAAAAATAATGGTATACCATCTTTATATTTGACTTAAGAAAGCATCTATATATTTTGATTTAGTAGGAATATCTGTAATTTAAGAATTCATAAAACATTGAGCACACAAGTCCACCCTGCAAAGACTGACTCAGGAAAGTTGTTTGGCTTCACCATCTTGCCCTGGGGCCAGAGTCCTTCCCACCCACTCACAAGCTGAAGGTAAACAGCAGGATCCTCAGGACTAAGCTGCCTTCCTGTCATTCTCCACAACTCCTGGAACAGAGAAACGATTAAGTGCTTTGGTATAAAGGGCAGGCTGGATGTAAGAATGGTGGAAAAGGAAAATAAGGGAAAATTTTGGTCAGCAAATCACATTTCACTTATTCTTTATTAGTTACTGTTAAGAATCATATCATTGAGAATTGATTGTGTTCTAAGAGACTTAGTGCAGAGACTAGTCTAGGTACACTGAGTTTGCTTTGGCAACCTGCCAGTAACCTTTTGCCTCTGGAAGGAAGTCCACAGACCCCACAAAAAAAGCTGTCATGAAGTCCATGAATCTTACTCCTTAGTTCCTTCTCTGGCATACTACCCAGACTTGTTCTGGGAACGTTGTTAGGTAACAGAGAGTTCCTTTCATATTTTACCTCCCTCTCTGTACCCGTGTCTTTCTTCCCACTTTATGGTGAACTCGCTGCTGACCCTAACCCCCTGCCTCCACCACTTCTGATTAATGTTTTTATACATTTGCATCTGTAATATTTATCTTTGGAGTGCATAATGATGAGCTCCTGATTAATCACTCCAAGGTGTTTGGATTATTCAGAAGCACCATATAAATGTGTCCTTTATTGAGAAATTTCTAGGATACAGGCGGAAAGGAACTATAGACTTTCCAGCCTCGTGGGCTGTGTTTAGGGAAGAGGAGGAATCTTTCTGGTATGCCAGACCTGTGGTATATTTATTTTATAATCAGCCCTTGTCTGTCTTTCTTCCTTCTAAAACCTTCAGAAATGGCAAAGTGGGGCAGTGGAGGCCAGACAAAGGCACAGCCAGCAGCAGAACAGTCTTTGCTCTTTGACTGAGAGCCCAGCTTGCATGTAAGATGCAATATCTAGAAGTGAAACCAGTCTAGCATTCCTGCCTTCTGGGACATTTAAAGTTGGGGCAAACCATACCATGTTTTGCATTAATCTGACCTATGTTCAAGGGCTAGGTAGTGTGTCTGAAAGTCATATTATATATAGTGAACTGTTTTCCAGAGCAGGAAGTGGCATGTTTCACTATGGAAAAATATCAGAAACAGATTTTTAAAAATTATTTGTAATTGATGCTTATAAGTCTTAAATAGAGAGATAGAAATGTCCCAATCATAGTGATTGGTGCCTTAGATATATTTCTTTGCTTCATTTGCCTAGAAATTCCTTATCCAGAACACTTTAATACCCAATGACGCTGGGTAAAGGGAGGCCTAATGAGAGTTAATACTTTTTACTTCAAGACTAAAATAGCTTGGCTGACATTACTTACGAGGATATAAACTCAGACTTCCTAACCTTGTCATTTAATTAGGCTATGGAGTTTTTCTTCACGTGCTTTTCTTTTGCTCAGTTTGGAATTTTACTTTTCTCCTCTAATTCTCTTAGTGGAAAAAGTGACCCCTTATATTAGAAACAGATGACACAGTGGTGACTTCTCAACTTTTTTTAACACCAGGGCCACAAAATTCTTACATAGAATCAAGTAAACATTAAAGGCTTCTTATTATTAGTGCAAGTGATTCTTATTCTCCTTATAACAAAAAGACTTGACTGTGGTGTTGCAGGTGACTAAACAGGGTCTGGTATATAAGCCTGACTAGACGCATAACTTCATACCCATTTTAAGTTGAGTCTGCACACTCTTTTTTCTTTGCCTTTAGTATGAAAAGACACAGACTGTACTCTCAGAACTGAAGTTGAAGTTTGAAATGACTGAGCAGGAAAAACAATCAATCACAGATGAGCTCAAACAATGTAAAGACAACCTGAAGCTGCTCCGAGAGAAAGGAAATAATGTAAGTCTTTGCAAACTTGGCTTAGCTTTGATTGAGAGGCAGGTGAGAGCCCTGAAACTGATTCTTCAGAGGACTTTATTACTGATTTGAGAAACTAAGACCTGTAGTACACGTGAACTAAGCTTTTCATTATGAAATTCCATGATGGAATCATTGGGCTGTCAGATTTTTGAGTAAGAATTTGCCCCTTTAACCTGTACACCTAGAAGAGCCTAAGGACTACCTGGAGGAAGAGCCTTGTCTGCAAAAAGATAATTTACCTAAGAACTGTCAGCTTTTCCCAAATGAATCTGAAGTTCTGTCACTAAGCCTTCATCTGGCTCTTGTTTTTCCCCCTCTGGGAAACAAAGCACTATACCACCAGGGACCCACTGAAGAAAGAGTGATACGTGACGATTCCTTAGCATTTGGCTGTATCAAAAAATGGAGACTTGATGGTTTTCATTTTGTACTAATAATGTTCTCACTAAGGCACATTTCTAAAAAGCTTAGTGTCTTCTGGGCCTCCTATAAATATTAGGAAGTATTTGGTCAGTTTCTCTAGGGGGGTGTGTGTGTGAAATTGGAACATTTTGGTATAAATTGAGTTTAATAATATTAATTTGTATTTTATTTGCTAGAGAGGCAGATGGTCTTTTAAAAGATGTTATACTAAATAAATGTTGTGTTATACGTTTTAATGATCATTGCCTTTGTGGGCCCTAATTGATGGATGTTCAGTGTGGTTGATTGTGCTCTGACTTATTCCAAACCCCTGTCATGGCTTGGACACTGCAGTGGGCATGAGCCGCATACTTCCTATGGAGAAAGGCACTCTGCTTAACTTGCAGCACAAGTACAAAAGAGTAATGTTGCATGGCCATCCAGTTACACAGTCACACTCAGAATGCTTATGAGTTGTGTCCAACTGTTCTTTGCTAAAGAAAGTCCTAGTTTGTTTGTTTTTTTTTTAATAAAGACTTGTTGCTTAGGTAGAAGCCTTTCAGAAATTTATGAATTGGGTATGGAGGCTTTATGATAAGCAAAAATGGATTGCATTTATTTCAAAAATGTCAATTACAGAACTCTTCTGAAATCAGATCATAATGGTTTGGTTACTTCTCTCTTTTGTGTTAATTCATATCTCTCTGATGATGGAATTTCAGTCTACCTTCTACTAAATTAACCTATGAAGACATCTAGGATAATCAGAATGGATCCCTCTATATGATTTAGAGCCTATTTGAAAGTAACGTTGCTATTATTATTTATAGTTATACAAATAATTTACTTTAAGGGTAGATTTCCTATTTTTATGACATTAGACTTATGGTAATGACATATTACTCTGTAATAACACTCATTGTAGTAATTCCCTTCCAATTTAAAAAAATTACTGGGAATTCCCTGACAGTCCAGTGGTTAGGATTCCACACTTCCACTGCAGGGGGCACAGGTTCGATCCCTGGCTGGGGAAGTAATATCCCACATGCTACGTGGTGCAGCCAAAAATATAATAATAATAAAATTAAATTAAAAATTACTTGTATTCTTGTAACATCACTGAAAGCCCTGAGATTCAGCTGCCTGTCTTTATATACTAAATGTTTCTCATATGTTGTGTCAGATCTCTTGCTTGATTTAGAAAAATAAATGCCATGCATCACAGGGCATTTATTTTTAAGCTTGAAAGCAATACTATCTCAAGCAAAAGAGTTTTGGTTTAAAAAAAAAAAAAGTTTTTGATAGAGGGATAAAATAAACCTTAGCCATTTCCAAAGGAGTACATTGTCAAATAATGGTTTCTGAGTATGGAACAAAAATAATGTACTGTCAAGCAGAGCATCAGCTGGTGAGGTATTTTCATTGCTCTGTCTTAACGCGCTACATTTCATTAGGGAGTTGGGGACACCCACATTGCCTCCAGCTGTTCCTTTTAAACTGGTAGTTTGCCAACTTACATACCACAGTCCATCATTCTGGATTGTATTAGATGTCTTTAAAATGTCTTTCTACCCTCCCTCCCACCCCCCTGGGTTCTAAATCATCTTATATGATTTTTTTATAGCATAAAATGATTTTAATATCCCTTCCCTTCTTTAGCCTTCCATATTACAACCCGTCCCAGCCGTATTCATCGGCCTATTCCTGGCTTTCCTGTTTTGGTGTTTCGGTCCATTGTGGTAGAGAAAGGTACAAGCACTACTGTTGAGTCCTTGTCTGTTTGTTCCCGTCACCTGTTTGTGCCATATTTGTAATATAGTGCATGGCAAAACCACACAGGTATTTTGTTACCTGAAGCAAACCCTTCATTTAGTATGCTATGTATTGTGTCATACAAATGAACTGAATGATCAACTAATCATATAACATATTGTCTTGTTTCTTTTGTAGTAAAGCTAACTATGAATTAATTCCAACCTAACCAGATGTTAATATGCTGCCTTTAACTGAGTCTTTGTCTCTAGCAAACCGGAGTAAACTGTGAATTGCTGCAGCTTAGTACCCCCTTCCCAATTCTATGTTTAATCAGCTCTGAATGAGAAATGAAGAGTTTGCCTCTTTGAAGTTTTCAGCAAGCTTTCTTCCCCCTCCTCCCTTCCCTCTTCTTTTCCATGGTGTAGAGTTTCGTTGTTTCAACCCTTTGCCTATATTACACTGTGGCTAAGAAGATGAAAAAGGATGAGAGTGGCATAATGGACCATTGGCTCACAATCTCAACCTCAGTATGCATTTACTTGTGAGAGTATCAGCCTGTCCCATGTCTTTCTGAGCCCTGATCTACAACATCACAATATTTCTTTAAAAGCTAGCTTTCTCAATACAACTCAGAACACTAGTGAAAATAAAGTTTTCAAACAAAACAAATTGATATTGTAAAGCCCTCTGATAGTTAACAGAGAACAGCCCATCCATGCTCACCTCCAACAAGCATACTGGTTAGTAGAGCATATGAGATGATCACGTGGCATTATTACCCTGGACATGGTCTTTACCAAAAGCATCAGATAAGCAGGGTCCCTAACATCACTTTGCCATCTTGAACCCCTTCTGATTTTGTCTTCTGTGGTTTAAGATTAGAGGATCAAAGCTTAGACCATTTTCTTTCTATCACCTTACCCACCAGCCCCTTATATAAAACCATACCAACATGTGAGTCTGGTTTTTATCAAGAAATAAACATTTTAGGCAGAAACATACTCCAGGCATTTATGGACATCAGTTAGCTGTCATATGTGGATACCCGAGTAAATAAAACAGGCTGAGCTCAAAGAGTTTCTTAGAGTACTCACTATTAGGCTTCAAAGAAAACTGAAAACTGCCCAAGAGTTTCCTGCAATGTATTCGGCTTCCACACAATGGTCCTCTAAAACAGCTCCTGCTATTATGGCTCTCCTCACACCTGCACTCCCTCACCTTTTTTTCTTTTTTTAAAAATGTATTCTTATGCAAAGATAAGGTTTTTCTAATATTCTGTCAAGTATTCAGGACTCTCTGGAACCAAGGGGTTAATAGGTATGAAAAAAGAAGGGAGAATGTGATTTTGACTCTTGGTTTCTTTCCACACAGAAACCCTGGCCCTGGATGCCCATGTTGGCTGCCCTGGTTGCGGTGACAGCCATCGTGCTGTACGTGCCAGGTCTGGCCAGAGCTTCTCCATGAGAGCGTTTCTTGAGTCCGTACACCGTCCTCCCTCTAGAAGCTGGCACCACACTCATGCTGGGGACAAACCAGAACCATTTTCTTCCTTTTTACCTCTTAAAACAGCAGAAGTGCAAGAATACAGCTGTAGGGTCATTGCTTTAAATTATATAAAATGTATCTGTCTATAAAGAGGATATAAAATTGTGACTTTATTCTACTGTAAGCAATAATTTGCTTGCAATTTTTCATGTAATTTTTAAATTAGTATGTTGAAATTCTGAATATTATGGTGGCCTAAAGTAGGCTTCTTGGTACACCAAATTATTTATAACATTAAATTTATGGGTATTTTACTCTGAATTCTAATGGCCAGATAACTCATTTTTTTTGATTCGATAACTACCCAAACCAAACAACTGATACATACATGGGAAGAGAGGCCCTGTGTGCTCAGTGCCTATCAGTTTGAATATATACACATATATATATATATTTTTTACATATTTACGCCATTTTTACTTGTTATAAAACCACTGAGCTATTGGGAACAAGACTTAGAGACAACTATTTGCGTGGATTTTTTTTTTTTTTTAAGGAGAAATACACTTGGAAAATACTCTGTTCTAGTGATAATTTGGGGAATATATGCACGTTTGTTCAGCCTTAATGTGACTTGATGATGTGGAGGACATCAACTTTGAAAAACTTTCCATGAGAGTGTGTATTTTCTTGAGCAAACTGAAGTATTTCTGGGAGCAAAAACATAGTAATTATACAGTTTCAGTGCAGTAAACCAAACTGTTGAGTCAATTGGAATGTAATTTATTAAACCTCATGTATTTAAAGAGATATTTTCTTTAAAAGCCAAGTTACTTTCTCATATACAGCATTTTAGGAAGCATGACTTTTTTTTTCCTATCATCTCTTCCTCCAAGCATGTTTAATTGAAGAAAGAATTAATATCTCTTTAGATAAGCTTTTACTGACTTAATTTGGTTAATGATATTTCAAAGCTAATTCATGTTCGAGGTGAGCTGTTGTTACCTACCAACAGATTTCCTGGTTGGGGAGGCAAATGGTCATTTTCTTTTTATTGTTGTTAATTGGGACGTTCTGTTAATGAGAAGCACTATTCCCAAGATTAATAGTGTTCCATGCACAGTAAAGCACCTAAACACTGCTTGATGTTACAAATTTAAAACACGGAAGTGAAGGTTTAGCTATGGTTTTTGTGCGGCACCACAGTTATGTCAATGAAGTTTATATAGGTCATAGAATATCCTGAAGTATCACATAGTTAAATTTTTCAGTCAGTGAAAACTGAGAGGGAATGTCAGTGAATTGGCTTGAATGTTCTGTGGCAATCCACAGGCCTAGCCGAATATTGAAATAGAAGTTTAGGATATAATTTGCCTTGTAATGTTTGGCAGTCATTGTTTATACTTTAAAGGTTATATTTTAAGCCATTTGGGGTTTGCTGTTGGGAGGATCACTAGATTTATGGAGGAATTAGTCACAAATGACTTGTAGAAAATACTGTCATATAGTTCATTTCATCATTTTCTGTTGCAGGAAGCCACTCCACCACAGAATGCTAATATGCCAGTGGTACCCAGTACCTCCTGTATATAGGTTATTGCAAATATTGTTCTGAAATGCTTAACTTCAGAATTACATTTTTTAAAGTAAATAATTGTTTTAAATCTATTTTGTAAAGATATAAAGTACAATAGAATTTCTGGAGTACAGATTAAACTATTTGCACTAACACACGTGATGTGCATGATTTAATAAAATAACTTTACTCTCCCTATGCATTTTTGAGTTGGATATCATTGAAATTCTTCGTACTGACTCTACTATTTTATTGTTAATAGTCTTTTCATGAAATGACTCTTTATGCAACATAATGTACGTTGGGTGTTCTTCAGGGTTTAAAAGAAAACACTGAGCTGTTTCCTCCAGGTTTTATTAGCCTTTTATTTAACTTACTGCTCTAATTTTTTTCCCTTTTACTATGGTTATTGTTAAAACGTGACTCACTTGCCAGACAAGTCTCTTTAAATGTAAAGTCTAGCATCAATATTTACTTTATTCAAATTGAATAAATGGGTTTTTGTAGTGAACTGCCAGTTTTTCTTAAGAATATAAACGAGCCTATTCATAAGCAGTACCCCCAGTTTTGTTCAGTTTACTTTCAGGTTAAATAAAGAGTAGGGGGCTTCCCTGGTGGCGCAGTGGTTGAGAGTCCGCCTGCCAATGCAGGGGACATGGGTTTGTGCCCCAGTCCGGGAAGATCCCACATGCCGATGAGCCATGGCCACTGAGCCTGCGCGTCCAGAGCCCGTGCTCCGCAACGGGAGAGGCCACAGCAGTGAGAGGCCCGCGTACCGCAAAAAAAAACAAAAAAAGAATTGAACAAACCCTATAACACATTTAAAAATTATATTAAGGTGCTACGTGGCTGGGTCAGAAAATGAAAAGAACGTGGTGTTTAAAGCTAAAACATCCGTATTGGCATACTGGCTCTGCCTTAGGCAAATCATTTGTCTTTGAGTCTCTACTTCCTCATCTATAAAATGGAGAGAATAATATCTCTATTTTTAGTGGTAGTATGAAAATTTTAAAAATAATGTATGTGAAGTGTCAAGTGGTCAATAAATACTGCAAATATTTAAGTTTTAGGTGAACCAGTACAGCTATTTAAAGTGAATTGATTGACTCAACTGTTGAGACTTTCTGTGTGAATGAGATAGAACTGCAGTGGAATGACTCCTAAGAAAGCATCCAGCTCTGTTCATCCCTTTTATAGTTGTGTCTTTAGGAAGTAATATGCTTAGTTTGAAAATGAGCCAATTGCTTACAACAGTTTGGAATTCCTGTTGTGACTGCCTTCAAGAGCAATTCCGAGTCACATATGAAAACCAGTCACACTGCTGCATAATCAGAGGCTTTCAACTAAAAATAGTATTGCCTAGCTTGATCTCACTTCAATCACCAGACTTGACCCCCAGTGACTTTTGGCTGCTTCCAGTGATTACATCTACTACCAAAAGGATGGAAATCTGTTACCAAAGAGGAAAAAACTGCATACAAGTCAACTGTGTTAAAACTGTACAGCCTTCCTCCCAAAAAATTCACGTCTGAAAGTTTATTCTGAGGGCATAATTGTGTGTTCAAAATTTTAATTACCAGGACATTTAGTGTAGCATTTTTCTGTAATAGTGTTGGGTAAACAACCTAACTATCCAGCAGTGGGTCATCGGTTAAATAAATTAATATTGCCACGCTACAGATTGCTGTGCTTGCAGAGTATGTGGGGATATATTCATACTATATTAAGAAAGAGGTTACCAGTGTAGAATAACCTTGGTTTTATAAAGAAAAAAATGTAGACATACAGGATATGTTTATAGCAGGAGGACTCAGAACGATTTTTTATCCAGGCTACACTAGTGCTTCTATCTGTATGATTGAGGGTCAATTCTGTTCCCTTTTTATGATTTCTGATTTATTTTTAGTGGTAAATATATGTTGCTTTTGTAAATTAAAAAGCTATTTGGTTTTGCTTTAAATTAGAAACAAGCAGAATTCTAAGTTGCTTTTCGTAATTGAATGAGTACCTTGTCGAAGTACCTACGTTTAAAGGAGTTAATGTTCATTTGCACTTATGAATTCTGGTGTGTTCATTTAAACATCAGTCTTACAATTTTAAACATGCTTTGTACATACATACGTAGAATCAGAATACTGGAAGAGGTCTTAGCAATTCGTTCTCACCGATTTGCCTATCAGGGAGAAAACCCAGAGAATTTTTGACTCATGGTCAGAATTACAGTAAGTTATAAAGTTGAGGATGAGGATGATTATTTTTTTGCTACTCCATGTTGTGTCTCCAGGCTTTGATGGCTTTACATCCATTCATTTAACAGATACTTTTTGAGTGTCTGATGTGAGACATTGTGCCAGGTTCTGGCAATATTCAGTTCCTGCTGTCATAGAGGTTTTGGTGTAGAGGAGAAATACAGGCAAGGAAGCGGGCCAGTCACAGTACAGGATACTAGAGGAAGACATAGCAACCTGTGGAACCATAGAAAAGGAGTGCATTTCCTCTCACCTTCAACCATCCAACCCAGAGACATCTGGCTGCAGAGCCAAAGGTGAGTTTTCCTTCTAAGTAGTCTGGGGAACAGGACTGGTTTCTCTAGAAGTACCTGAATTTACAAACCACTAACATCTGAGATTGATTTTCCTAGAATTGGAAAACATTTTTAAAGTTTTATGTACTGTCCTGGAGTTTTGCCCTGTAAAATGGTTTGAACTGCACCTTGCAACTAGTGAAGGATTTATATAGAGATATAATTTTCAGGTGTACAGCATTATAATTCAACATCTATATACACTACAAAGTGATCGCCACCACAAGTCTAGTTACCATCCATCACCATACATTTAACCCCCTTCACCCATTTTGCCCATCCACCAACAGCCTTACCCTCTGGTAACAACTGATCTATTCTCTGTATCTATAAGTTTGTTTTTGTTTTATTTTGTTTGTTCATTTGTTTTATTCTTTTAGATTCCACATATGAGTGATATCATACTTTGTCTGACTTATTTCACTTTAGCATAATACCTTAAAGGTCCATCCATGTTGTTGTAAGTGCTGCTCCACATTGTAGCATTTTTTTGTTACGGCTGAGTATTATTCCATTGCGTATATACACAATATCTTCTTTGTCCATTCATCCATCAGTGGTCGCTTAGGTTGTTTTCAGATCTTGGCTGTTGTAAACAGTGTTGCAGTGAACATAAGGGTGCATATGTCTTTTTGAATTAGTGTTTGTTTTTTTTTTTTTTTTTTGCGGTTCGCGGGCCTCTCACTGCTGTGGCCTCTCCCGTTGCGGAGCACAGGCTCCGGACGCGCAGGCTCAGCGGCCATGGCTCACGGGCCCAGCCGCTCCGCGGCATGTGGGATCTTCCCGGACCGGGGCACGAACCCGTGTCCCCTGCATCGGCAGGCGGACTCTCAACCACTGTGCCACCAGGGAAGCCCTAGTCTTAATTTTTTGAAGACACTCCATTACGGTTTTCATAGTGGCTGTACCAATTTACAGTTCTACCAACAGTGTACAAGGGGTCCCTTTTACCCGCATCCTCTCCAGCATTTGTTATTTCTTCTTTTCAATAATAGCCATTCTAACAGGTGTGAAGTATCTCGTGGTTTTGATTTGCATTTCCCTAATTAGTAATGTTGAATATCTTTTCATGTTCCTGTTGATCATCTGTGTATCTTCTTTGGAAAAATTTCTGTTCAGATTCTCTGCCCATTTTTTAATCGGGTTATATGGGGGTTTTTTTGTTGTTTTTGTGGAGGATTTCTTTTCTTACACAGGGGAAAGTGTCTTAGACCAGGGCGTGGATTGGATGGAGCCAATAACTCCTGGCACATGAAGGCAAGTGTTCGCCATATCTTGTTGCGTGTGTTTACAGTGCTGCTCATTCAGCAGATTAAGCAGCTATATATTTCTTCCTAAAGATTTCAACCCAGAGCTTATATGATTTGTTACCCTGTTTTACAAGGACACTGAGATAAAGCCTATGAAAAAGTGAAAAAGACAAGAGCATTGAGAATAAAAGCAAAAGGGACTGGGGGGGTGGGTGGTTGATGGAGGAGTAAAGGAACGTTTTCTGGTTATGCTCCCACCTGTCCACAGTTGCTGTTCACTTCATCTTTTCATTTTGACCTCTTGAATTGGCCAGAGTACATCTAGGTGGCCCGATTTCATTTAGCAGAGATTCAAACTCCTATGAAATTACATCCTAGAGGGTTTTTTTATCCTAAATTTTTATTTATTTGTCTGATCTTGTTCCACGTAGAATTTGAAGCAGGCATGTGTGTTTGGACAGCATTTTTTTCCCTCTTAAATGGCAGGGATCCATTCCTGCTGGGCTGAGAACGCTTCCTCATGGCAGGCTGTTTAAGCAGATGAAAGAACACCAATAAGGAAGGAGCACCAAAGGCACTTGAAAAACCTCAACCATTTCCACTTCTGGAATCACAGGTTTCCACTGTAAATTACTTCGCTGTTCGTAAATCTTTTCATAGTTACGCCATTCTGGTTTTGGTTGAAAACTTGTTCTGAGATAATTAGCCTATGCTTATTTAACCTTCCCCCATACCCTCCACCCCATATACTCCATAACTAACTTTCAGAGAGTTAATGTGTTTTGGATACTTTTTAAAACTTTTTTTTTTTTTTTTTTTTGCGGTACGCGGGCCTCTCGCCGTTGTGGCCTCTCCCCCTGCGGAGCACAAGCTCCGGACGCGCAGGCTCAGCGGCCATGGCTCATGGGTCCAGCCACTCCGCGGCATGTGGGATCCTCCCGGACCGGGGCACGAACCGGTGTCCCCTGCATCAGCAGTCAGACTCTCAACCACTGCGCCACCGGGGAAGCCCTGTTTTGGATATTTTTAACCAGATTTTTATTTTCCTCAGTGTATATAGAGCTAATCACATTTTCTTCCACAAACGAAATTTGGTAGTTTTAAAGTGGGACATTCTAATCTAGTACTTCATGTATGTAGCTAATAAAATCAGACACACAAAAATCCATGAGAAGAGTTTATTTAGTCATGTAACTTTAGACCAAAAAAAAAAAGCTTTGTATTTTAAATACTTAAGCCAAAAATTAGGTGGTGAATTACATATATGTGCTGTGTCCACATAAAGCCCTTGTTATCAGTGAAGATGAGTACGTACCGTGATAGTACCTGGAGTAAATAGAACCTTTGACCCGCTTAAATCATCTGT